AAATTTGTTTGCGAAACAATAAAATATTCTAATCGATAGCGTTAGAAATCTTAATAATAGCAAAAAATCATTAAGTCGGTTAACTGACATTGAAAAAAAGTTGATCCTCCTAGCATTTTTCTATATTAATGGATTTTCATCAAAAATAATGTACGAAAAAGTCTACAAATATATTGGAATGTTTATGGTAAAGAAATATTATAATTATGTTATATTGAATGTGTTTCAGACATAAATATAATTTAATCAATATTTTCCTCTAAGACGAAAATATTATTTAGATTATATTTTTATCTGTAAACTCTTCAATCAATAAAATTATAAACAATTATCATAATATAAATTAATAATAATGATATATTTTTTTTTTAGTTTAAAAACATAAAAAGAGATTCAACTACCATCTCCAATTTTATATTAAATCAACGATTAGAAAATCTGAAGTTGCTGCAATTTGGTTTTACAAACAGTCAAATCGCAGAATATTTTAATTTCAAATCATTACAATAGAAAATATAAATCTAAACAAAAGAATTTGTTTAAGTGAGTATTATAAATAACGAAATGTATTATTTAAGTTAAAGAAAATCGTATAATGTAACAAATTATATTATATAAATTAAATAATTAAAATCGTAGATAAATATTATTTATATTAATATATTGGTGTAGTAATTTTCTATTCATAATTCAAAAATAAGTACCATTTAATATCACTCGCTATAGCAAATACCATACTTATCGATTAATGGTAAAAACTACATCCAACTTGTATATCGAAAATTTCCGTCGGTAAACAATTATATCAAAAATAAAATATTTTCGTCTGAAAATTATTATCTACAAAGAACACAATTTAAACGAAAATTAATTTTTGTTTGTTTAAATAAAGAGTAATACGATTGAAAAAAAAAATATGAAACTATTATACAATTGTAATTGATAAATATGATATTTGAATTCTATCACGTGATCATTTAAATTTTTAATGCTCTCTAACAGATTAGTACGCTTTTCAATCATCTTTCGTGCACATGTATTTTTATCACTCTAGGAAAATGTCAAAATTAATGGATAAAACGTACTTCAGTGAACATCTTGACAGTTTAAAAACTTTATTGGATTATTTTTGTGATAGTGCAATTAACAATAAAAATTTTAATATTAAATCTGAATTAGACATGCATAGGTTATGTCAATCGATTAATGTCAGCAAATGTAATCAAAAAAATTATAATGCTGTGAGAAGTGTAATTAAACATTTTGGTGGGATTAACGAAATGTTACGAACGGAATCGTACAACTATAGTCATCACATTTGTATAAGATTTTTTTGTAAACAGTGAGTATATATATAAAAATATTTATTATTAAACAAAAATATCATATACAATATGTTTTTATCTGAGACAAAAATATGAATAAAAATATATTTTTATTTATATTTATTTTTTAATCTTGCAGAGTTGTGAAAACTTACAATCCCACATTTGCATTAAAATATGTATCAGTAGATAATGCATTCCGTTTAACACAATCAATATTATGCCAAATATTGGACAAAAAAGTTTCTGATCCTCGTATTGACATTGTCAGAAAATCGTTGAATATAACGGGAAATAAACTGGAAGCAGTGGAATATTTTGTATCAAGGATCCAAAAAAAACCAGTACATTTATTTAGATGTTGGTTTTTAACTGTTAAATATTTGTAAATATATTGAGTAAATTAATAATTATTTGATATTGATTATATATCATTTTAATAATATTTTATATTTATATTTTAGAGATTCCTACAAACCTGAAAAAACTGTTGTTACCACCGACTATATGTTTCGACTATTACGTTATCAACTGGAAAGTGTATTGATTAAATGGAACAAAGATTTTGAAATTGAAGAATTTGATAATAATTTCAAACCTAATTGGTCATTGACAGATGAAAATTATTATTTAACTATTTCAGTGAAGAATCAGCAAGTTAGTAGAAATACAAAAGAAAAAGTGGAGGTACAAATAAATAGTATTCAAGAACCGAATATCGTTATTTTATTAAAAGACCAAAATATCGTAGTTGATCGGAAAAAATATATACGTTTAGAACAACGTCTTTGTAATTCTTCATCGAAATAATGTAGATAAAAATATTGTGATTTTTATATAATTGTCATATATATATTTAACATTATGATTTAATAGATAATAGATAAAAATTTAATTTTAATTGTTTTATACATTGATTTAAAATTATGTAAAACGAGTATTGGATATTTACATATATAAACATATTTTTATAAATATATAATAAAATAAACTATGTATTTATATAAAGTTATATTTTATTTCCAAAACCATTTACTATATACATTTTTTGTTTACAATTAAAACATCTCAGTTCAAGTTGCTCTATGTCAAGTCTCAACACAAAATATATTGTATTTCTGTGATTATAAATTTTTTGTATATCACAATATAAGCAATTTGTTCCAAAAATTAAACAGTTTTCGTATTTTTTTATCGTTGTAATATACGCTGATTTTGCATATTGATCAAAATATTTTTTTATGTAGTTTGTATATAAATTTAAAATAATTTTTTTATTTTCTAGATTGAGTGATTCTAAATGCTTTTCTACATCAATACAATCATGAATATTGTTAATTTGATTAGTGTTTAATTTTTTGGATAATGGCAAATTATCTAAGTGAAATAGAGATAGATATTTTGTTTTTATTAAAGATTTACTCATAAATAATATATTATTCGAAGCGTTAACTTGTATGCAAAACAATGAAAATTCTCAATGCTGTGGTCTATTCGCGAGAAGCAACAATCTTCGTGCTGTAATTCAAAAATTAATAACGCACTCTGGCGGATTAGTTACCGGTTTCCAGTGACCTCTAGCGGATTCCCTACCACGTGACCCCAAATCGCGAGTTGTGATAGGTGGTTTGTCTCCCCTATCCACCCAAAAACAGCCAGGAAAGGCAACCATTCTTATACATGCCGAAAAAAATCATCCGGTAGGGTCAGAAGACCCTGCTCTCTCCTCGCCCCCCCCCCCCCTCAACAACTTTCGCTTCAGCGGCCTCCCCCGCCAACCCCCGCTGTTCGGATTTTTCACTTCTGGTGGCTTATAACCTTCGGGTTGGTAACCGACGGGGAGGGGTTTTAGCCGGTAGGCGCCCACGAATCTCGTAGGCGAATCCAGCATATCCCCTAACCTACATCTCTAGGAATCTTCTGAAGATTTCCCCTCCCGCCAATCAAAAAAAAAAAAAAAAGGGATCGGAGTCCTCTGATGAGTCTGAGGAAAGGATGTTGACGTTTGGGCAGGGATGGTGTGGATGAGCCTTTGGGGGGATGGGGGGGAGTTGTGGGGTAATTGTAATGGGAGAGCAGTCCATGGGCGGGGGCGGAGGATTGGCCTCTACGCGGTCGGGGGGAGAGGGGGAGCCGGCGGCAGAGGCTGCGGTTGCCCGCGCGAGCACTTGGGATAGAGCCAGGACGTGGCTGTCAAATTCGGCGAGCTAGGCTTTGGCTTCAACAAAGAAGGCGTCTCGTTTGGTGCGGAAGTTAAGGAGGTTGGCTTTTAATTCAGCAATCTCAGAGTCCCTTTTTTCGGGGGAGGCAGAACTTACTTGGGAAGCATCAGGATTGCCCATTTGTTGTAGTTGTAGCTGCTGTTGTTGTTGCTGCTGTTGGGAATGTTGCATCTGCTGCTGCTGTTGAGTTTGATGTTGCATCTGCTGCTGCTGTTGCTGCTGCTGCTGCTGAGTTTGTTGTTGGCTGCGGCCGCTGTTTTGGGTGTTGTCGCGGGGAGCTGTCGATGACATGGGGGGGGGGGATAAGCCTTGAAAAGGGCTGATTGGACATGAGAGGAAGGATTTATGTGGTGGGTGTCGTAGTTTGCACCGGCACCTTGGGCATTGGCGTTTGTATGTTTGCACGAGGTCCTGAGAAGGACCGATAAAGCACTGGGGGGGGGGGGGGGGGTCCTGATAAGGACCGGTTGTGAGGTTGTTTAGGATTACGGTGTAGAAGGCTAGCACAACCAGCGCGCGCGGCGGAGGCTAAGCGAACGGATGGCCGACTGAGTTTCAGCGCTTTTTTATGCTTTCGCGTTCAGCGCAATCCCCACTTCTACTTTAGCACCAATGAAAACGTAGAAGTATATAGGTATATTTTACTTTAGATATAGCTTTATGCAATATAACATTTTTTTTAATTTTGTTGTTTTTCATTTAGTTTTAATAATTAATATATCAAATAATCTGTATACATACACACACACAAAGATTATCAGTACCTTAACTATATCTATTATGTTTTCGCATGACTCTTTTGTTCCCATTTCTGCACGATGTTCATTTTATTAATTTAACGTAGGTATTGTATAGCTATTTAGTTAATTTGGTAATTCGTGTGCATTATGGAAACTTAGAACCCAACCATTTCCACGTACTTAACCTTCAAAAACATAAATATTTGATTTATTCCAAACTTTTGTATATAGAAAATAAATTATCTGTGATATAAAATTATACAACTTCTTCCTAATTATGTAAAAAAAAATAAGGCAGGTACAAGAAAAAATGCTAATAATTTAAAAAAATAATTATTTTTATTTATAATATGTACAAAAATATTACTAAATATGATTAGTTTTCTGAAGCAATTAATTATTTATCGATATTATATTTAGGTATTTAAATTTTTTATGATAAATAAACACACATATATAAATTAAGAATTTGATATAAAACTTAATAATTATATACATATTTACAAATAGATGCTCTAATTTCATTTTCTTTTGTTAAATTTCTTAACTCATTAAAATTACAATACCTATATTAAATGTTTATTGAAACAAGTAAACTTTTTTAAATACTCTAAAAAAAATGAAAAATGTATAAGAATTTTCAAATGTCATTATATGTAAAATTGTTATATTCACATGAACAAATACAAAAAAAGAGATGAAATTGATATTACTCTTAAATAATTTTTTTATCAATTTTTCAGATTAATCAATCTGTATTAATTCTTAATTAAAAATATACTAATGTAATCATCTATATTTATGACATTATCATAAATAAGATAATCAAGTAATTTATAATCTTTGACAATTACAACTTGTAGGGAGGAATATAAAAAGTTTCTTTTGGCTTTGTACGAAAAATTCCAAATCTTTTAGTTAAACTTCATTAAATTGAGCTTTTAGAGGTGACAATATAGAACTTTTGCTTGTCTACTTATTATTTGGATGCATTACATACTACAATGATTTATTTTGCATTAATTAGAAAAATTTTTTGAATTATATTAAAGATACATCTATTTATATTTTATGGCACTATCATTATACCTGAATTAATAGAAAATGTTCAGTTGTATAGAATGCTTACAAGATTTATCTACTTTATTTGTTTTTTGAAGTTTATATAATTGAATAATATTTTATAAAATCATCAATTCTTGCAAATCATTTATAGCAATATTCAAAATAAATACATTAGTTTGAATTATTTGATATTCTTCATTTATGACAGATTTAAATAAAGATTGTACATTTGCAAATAAATACTATATAGCTACATAAAACTTGAACAAGTAAACAAACTTCTGTCATATTTAAAGCTATTTTACAATTCACCTTAGAAGTTGGATTTTAAATAGTTCAAATAAATTCATGTTTAAATAAATTTCTATTACAAGACCAAATTCCAGTACTTGCAAAGCTGCTGTTAGCAGTAAGTACTGTTGAAACTTTCCTAAAAGCATTGCCAAAAAACTTGAATACTTCATCAACAGAAACAGATTGCCCTGCACAGTTCATTGTCCAGTTTGTCACTTCATTTTTATAAGCTGTACCAAGAACATCCATAAAACTGTATCTTGAAGGTTGTAGTTTGTTGCTACGATTAGGAGGCAAACAGAACATATAAACTCCATTTTCTGTCATTATTTCAAGTACATCTAAGTTCTTTAGATACAAATGATATCCATGAACAAGTATGAGTGTAGGTTTAGATTTTATAGGTTTTTTTAAATCTATAAATTTGTGAAGCCATCTGATAAAAATATCTAGCTGTAATTGTCCACATGAATTAACAAGTGCCCATGCTGTAGGAGGTGCACCATGGATCAAAGGTTTATTTTTCACTATATCAGGAAATATCATCAACAATGGTACATAAGCTCCACTAGCTAAAAAAGAAACCACAGCTGTAATTAACTTGTCCTGACTTTCATTAGATTCAATACTTTTTCCAAAGTATTGCACTGATTGAGTTGAGCATTTTATAACAGTTTCATCAAGAATATATAAATCACTAGGCTTTAAGTTGTATTTATTTAAAAAACTTTCTAGAGTCAAAGAATTTGTACACTTTTTCCTTGCTGAATACTTTACTCTTTTCATAGGATGTTTCACCTCTCTTTACTTTTGTACAAGGGTTTCTTTTTATGAATCCTTTGTACCAATCTTCACCAGCTAATCCATTGTCTTTTTTGAATCGATGAGGAATATTGAACTTCTCAGCAAATTGAAAAGCCAAGCGTCTAACGTCTATACCTATCACCCCAACTATGGCATTTTCCAGTTCACTAATGTATTTACATAAAGTATTTTCTTGCTCTTTATTAAATACTCTTTAAATGTTTATTGCTGCAATAAATGCAATAAATGTAAGAATGATTATGAATTCTGAATACAATTACAAATAAGAAAAATGATATTTAACTTAAAAATTACAATACAGTAGAAATATTAATTTGACACTAATTATGAAACTTACATTTAGGATTAGCTAGCAACTCATTTTGTCTTTCAGGATCGAGACGACACTGATTAACTTTTCTTGAAAAGGTTGCATGAGGAACTTTATAAATAGCAGATGCTCTCTTAATACTATAAGCTTTTTTGATTAAAACTTCAAAAGCTGTCCTCATTGAATCATCTGCCCATGTTTGTCTTAACCCTTTTTTAATGTAATTTCGAACCATTTTTATTTTCAGTGTATCAGTCAAATTCAAACTATAAATTAAGAAATTCTATTATATTTTTCACATCGCTATATCGTTATACATTAAAATCTACTGATATTATCACGTGTGGAGATATACAAACTCCTAATTACGAAATGACCGAGCAAGAACAGCTGATTCCCGCTATCATGTATGAAGGGACTGTAAAAACAAATCATCGAATATATGTTGACGTGAATTAATTATATAATATTTTGAATAATAATAGTGACATCTACAAAAAAGGGTTGATAATAATGATTTTACTATATTTTTTGCTATGAAAAAGAAGTTCATTTGAACTATTAAAAAATATTCCACTTCTACCAGCATTTACACCAATCAGGACGCACAAATTATATACATGTGAGCTTGTCAGTTATTGGAGCCTTTTATTTTCGAGCGAATTCCCGCGCTATAGTACCTAAAGGCGATTCCTTTTTCCCCCACTAAATTGTGAAAATAAGCGATGATTGGTTCGCAATGAGACTGCCAGAGAACATAAAAGCGGAAAAAAAATTTCTTAAAATCATTCAATTGTTCTTCTTGGTTAAATAACTGTTGTCAATCTAAATTTGAACATGTCTGGACGTGGAAAGGGAGGCAAAATTAAGGCGAAGTCAAAGACTCGTTCCGCCAGAGCAGGACTTCAGTTCCCTGTTGGACGTATCCATCGTCTTCTTCGCAAGGGCAACTATGCCGAACGTGTTGGTGCTGGAGCTCCAGTTTACCTGGCTGCTGTGATGGAGTATTTGGCAGCTGAAGTTTTAGAGTTGGCTGGCAATGCTGCCCGTGATAATAAGAAGACCAGGATCATCCCGCGTCATCTTCAACTTGCCATCCGTAACGACGAGGAGTTGAATAAACTGCTCTCTGGTGTAACTATTGCTCAAGGTGGTGTCCTTCCTAACATTCAGGCTGTACTTTTGCCCAAGAAAACTGAGAAGACCGGTAGTACTTCTAAAGCTAGTCAAGAATATTAGATCTTAATCTCTTTAATTATTAATTTTTCAATCGGCCCTTATCAGGGCCATCAATTTATTTAAACGTATAAACAAATTTTTAACTAGGTCAAACTTTCACATTGTGTACCGTAATACTTCATTATACATTGTGTTGGTATAATGTATCTTAGCAATTTATAACATACTAAATCTACATTACTATAGTCTAATTTTATGGTAATATCATTATTTAATTTTTGAAATACTATTCAGTGTTTTTTGCTAAGTCAAATGTTACTACTTTGTTTATTTACTCAAACAATTGCTCGAGCTAGCGTAAATAAATCTAACCTATATTCTCTTCTACCGCGTTTTATCAGCTACAAAATTTCAAATAAACAATCAAAATTAGATGTAAAATCGTCTAAACAAATTTTGATGATGGATATTGATGCCAAACTTATCAATACCGTAAAATTGCAAATGCTAAAAATCTTTGATGCCGGAGTTTCATCAGTTTTGCCGGCTGTGTTAATTGAAAATAAAGTGCGCCTCGAATCGAATGACCTTATTATTGACGGTGAACCTCATCTAATAAACCACAATGTCTACCTCGTGGGTTTTGGCAAAGCAGTAGCAGGAATGGCCTACACTATGGAGCAATTGCTCGGATCGCGACTCAAGCGTGGCATCATTTCTGTACCACGAACCTCCAAATGCTACAAAGTCAAATCACCAGATTTGGAATTACTACAGGAACGTACGGAAAAACAGTGCCAGTACTTGCAAGCTCTGAAAAGGTCAACTGTCATCGAATATTGCGAGGCAGCAGAAAATAATCAACCAGATGTGGCTTCATTGGAAAATACTGAGAAGATCGTCGAATTGGTTAAAAGTCTTGGTGAAAACGATACGCTGATTGTTTTGATATCCGGAGGTGGATCAGCTTTGTTATTCCAACCGAAAGCTCCCATTACTGCGGAAATGAAACGGGATTTGTGCAGGAAATTGCAGAACGCTGGGGCAAGTATTACAGAACTTAACTGTGTCAGAAAACAGTTGTCATTGGTGAAAGGAGGAGGACTCGCGAAAATCGCGTATCCAGCAAAAGTCATTGCACTCATTTTGTCTGATATCGTTGGAGATCCTCTTGAATTTATTGCCAGTGGACCAACTTGTCCAATACTTTCATGCGGTAGTAATAAATATCATTTACACAAAGTCTATTAATATGACTCATTTATAGTTCAAAAATTGCATTTAAATATTTTAAATATGTTATTTGTTCAGAGGAAAAAGGTGCTCAACAGGAAGTAATAAATATACTGCAAAAGTACAATCTTTACGAAAAGCTTGAAACAGATGTAAAGATTCTATTTACTGAACCAGAAGAGTATGCAGTAGATGAAAAAGCTATGATTGAAGAAGGAAGGTATAAACATGTGGACAATATTATTATTGGGAACAATGCAACTGCTCTAGTAGCTTCTTCTCTATTCGCTAAGAAATTGAATTTGGAAAGCATTGTGTTGAGCAATGTGATTGAAGGTGATGTTAAAAATGTTAGCTATGCTTATGCCAAACTGACAAAAGTGATATGCCATGTTTTGGAGAAGAGCTTTCCTACAAAAACAGAATTTGTCAATGAAGTTCAAAATCACAATCTAGATATTTTGAAAATTAATAATGAAAAATTTGAAGAGGCATATGAAATATTAACAAAAACGCGAAAAGACAAGGGTATTTTGCTACTAGCTGGTGGAGAGCCAACAGTGGTTGTTGAAGGTTCTGGTGAAGGAGGCAGAAATCAAGAACTTGCTCTTCGATTTTCTCTGGACTGGTTGAGTGAAATTGCAAAAGATCCTGTATTAGCTAGGTACTTTATTCTATTTCTCAGTGCTGGAACAGATGGCCAGGATGGACCAACTGATGCTACTGGAGGTTTTGGTCATCCAGGATTCTATCCAAAGCTGAGTGGACTCCACAAGCAACTCTTGGACAAGCAGAAAGTTACATTAAAATCACAAGAGTTACTAGATATAAAAAGTCAACTAATGCATATTGAAAAGATGTTGCCTGAAAACGTACTGAAAATAAACAACAGTTATCACTTTTATTCAAGCTTTGAAGATGGGCAATACCAGGTAAAAACTGGTCTTACTGGAACTAATGTGATGGATTTACATTTCATTTATTTGAAAAGACGGAGTTGTGAATGTAATATTCAGACGTATTTTTCAATAAAAAATACTGATAAAGATGAAAGTCAACAAAAGAAAAAGTTTGGAGACTGTTCATTCACAACAATTACATGGTAAATTTAGAAAAATAATGAATAATATATTTTTTATTCTTGTTTATTTTTATTATTATATCTTATTATGTACAGAGTTTTGAAATAAATTATTCATTAAATAATTTGATCCTGTTTTCATTTAGCAAATTGAAAGTTATATGTAAAATATCATACATTTTATCAAACATATTATTTCACACATGTACAATGACCACGCTTTTTTATGTATATACCTTCATGCTTGTAAATCTAACAATGCATATTCGTATTCTTATTTGCAGACTTTTTACAATTATACTTTATAACGAATGTATAAATAATACAAAAACGTAAAAATAATCTTGTATTAAAACTGTGCTACAGGACGGACAAAAGATCGGAACAAAGATCATTAAAAGCTCAGTATAAAAGCATTGGCATATTTCATTTTGAAAGCTTTGATATAGAGATATAGTAAACTACTTATTAATAATGATTTTATAACGTGAATGTTGTATATTACAATGTGTAACAGCAAAAATATTGCACTATCAATCTGATTAAACTATTGTCTTATATAACAGGTACTTCTATACTTTTAAAAATTAGTTGAAAGAGATCTCATACGAATTACATATTTGATGTATTTTTAAAATAAATTAAAAATAAAATTGTGAGTGTATTATATAAGATCAAATTAATTGAAACTTTTAAATACTTGTTCCATTTAAAAAAAGTGTAAAAGCTTATTTAAATATCTTACAAGTAAATTAAGCGCCATATTTTCAATAAAAGTAATTAACATATTGCATAAGTTTATGTAAATGAATCCTACAGATCCCAGCTAAAAAGGTGATGCTTAACAAGCATATCACGTACCCCATCTTTTAATGGTTGAGATTGTTCCTTTTTTGGTGGAAGTTCCCAATCAGGATTTAAATTAAATGCAAATTGACCTAAAATACGAAGTTCACACTTTATCTGTACCCAACCTGGACTATTCACAAAACTCCATGGATAATACCTGAAAAAAATATTTTCAAATTCTTATTGCATTGTCCATTCATTAATTTAGAAGTTTAATTGTATTTTTTTGGATAATTAAAATCATCAAATAAATATTTTACCACTTTTGTACAACTTCCACGCAGGAACACAAAACTTCTAGCCACAAGTGTAAAACTTGTTCATTCAATCCAAGGCAGATCAGAGAGCGTAATTTTACATCCATTTGAGCATGTGCGTTATCATGGGTTAAATTAACTGACTGAACACAACGATATAAAACCTAAAAATAAAGCCAACAACTAATTTATAATTCCAAAGAAATTTTTTGAAATCTACAAAAAGAAAATAAACTTGGCGCATACTTCTTCTGGAGTTAAAACTTTTCCATCTTCATCCAGGCGATATGTTTTGCAAAGTACTAATCTACTATAAACGGAATTAAAGTCTCGTTCAACTTCTCGATTAGAAGCTTCTTCGATGAATAGCCACGGATGACAAGGACCACCCAAGAACGACGGTCGTCTCATTCCATGCTCGAGGACAGCTTTTATGGCGGGACACAATCCACCTCGAACAAGATCAGTCACCGCTTCGCTGACAGCGTCATCGCCAACACAAGTATATTGCTTGCTCCTCTCGTCTAACAGTTCAACAAATTTTGCTGGAAACCAACCTTTTATAAAATAAGGAAATTATTAATGACTGTAAAGATTTTGATAACTAGAATTTTATTAGAATAATAACCTCGGAGTCCATTAAGTTCACCGACCCAACAGTGCTCGTCTTTTTGGCTGATAATTGTGATTATATCGTTTTTTCGGAAGCCTAATTCATCGTCATCATGTCTTTCAAAATCTTAAATAGAAAATTAAATGATTAACATGTGTGAAAATTAGTAGAAAGAAAAAAATGAAATAAATGCTTACCTAATAGAGCTTTGGCACGTCGTTTTCGTGTTCGTGAAACATTAATATAATTATCATGATCTTTTGCATGACTCTCCATGGTATAATCAGCCGTCAAGTAAGAATTAGATAGTTTTGGATCAAGATTTATGAAATGTCGTGCCACTTGTAAAACAGATTCTCTCAGATCAACTAATATTTCTGTACAAAAAAATACATTGAGTCGATGCTAACTATATAAACCGTGAGTGCGTTCAAGAAAAAGACAGTTACCTGTTTGCCTAATATTTTTACACTTGATGTTGTCCTCAGTTTCGTCACTTCCAAATAAAATGGTTTGAAGCATTGATTTCGTTCTTTTCATTTGTCTCCTGAAATGATGAAAAAATATTTAGGTAAAATATTCCAATTTTCATTTCTGCTCGATTTTTCAATTTTTATTGAGACCTTTACCTATTTAGATGTTGCTTTGGTAAGTTAGGTAGTGCATCAGGATTTCCCACAAGACCACCTTGATCTGCCATTAAATAAGCTAAATGTCTTCTTCTGTGAGTTTCTATTAATGCATCTGTTATGGGACAACCAACTTCCAAAGATACTTGAATGAGCTGGTCTACATCAACAATATCTCCAGGAATATCTGATAAGGCATTGAAAATTTGAGCAGAGTTTTCTAACATTTTCAACTCTGTTTCTAAAATTTACAAAAGTCTTATTATAAATAATAAATCATTTAATTTTTTTAAGCTTATTAATAATGTATATTTGGTGAAAATATACTTTTGTCCAAAGTTGGAAATTTACCTTTGATTCTCAACATTCCTAATGTTATTTGAAATAGAACAATAGAACCATCAAAAAGAAAGAGATCCCATATCCTTAATAAAATTTTCATATGAACAACAGAGGCAAACAACATCAAGAACCAGTTTAAAGATATCAAGCTCAGCTCTATATCATGTTGAACCAATACTTGATCAATGTCTGGTAGAAAATTGGTAACAATAGTTCGTAAAACCCTTTGATCTGCTTGAATACCTAAATTACAAAAAATATAAAATAAATTACAAGCAAGTATCAATAAAATGAAAGTAAAAAAATATAAGTGTAGTAATCAGTAAGCGAAATGAAAGGAGATACCTTAAGAGACTAAAAATCTTACCAATCAATGTTGAAGAATAGTAAGAAGCAGGTAGTAAATCTTCAACTATAGTAGCCATCATCCAAAATGCATCTTCTTCCTCAAGTAACAACAGTAACGAAGCTGCAATAGTTCCAGTTCCTTGACAATACCTGAAAAATTGTAAAAACAACATGACATCACATTTGATACCATGTATTAATTACAAAACTCTATATATACCCTATATCTGGATATAACCATGCAAGACCTCGCATAACTCTTCTCAACCTAGGAATTCCTGTACTGTGTAGATTACTAAAACAAACATTGGCCGGCATAGTTCTTAACAAATCTTTCTCAATCTGTTTACTAGTCATAAGTGCATCACTACTGGAAGCCTTTACAATATCTTTATAAGTTGTTTCTGAAGATAATTTTTTTTCAAGTGCTCCTGACATTCTCATCCATACTTTTGGCCTCAAAGAATGAGGAATACCTTGACGCACCATGTCCCGTAGTTTGTCATTACGAGGTAATTTACTATTAATGTTGGAAAGCTCTGTTATTTCTTTGTTATGACTAAACTCTAATAATGCTATCCAATGCAGTCTGAAATGTATTACATAAATTGAAAACTACTTTTTTATACTATAACATAAATTTATAAAAAAAAACTACCTCTGCTGTGGATCTTCTACCAAAGATACATTGAGAAGCTTTTTAGAAATTTCTTCCATGGGATCTTCTTCTTCGACTTTGAATCCAAACTCATCAAACCTATATTTAGGTTGTGCATTTAATTCATCAGATTGATTAAGTTTTGCTAGTATATCTTGAGGCCACATAGAAGATGTGAGTGCTGAAAATGGACCTCCAGGAGTTGGTGATAATGCTTCACCCCTAAATTCATTTATCTCAATGTCACACTCATCATCAGATACAGCTGTGTCAAGTTTTCTCTGAAAAATATATGTTTATAAATTATTATTGAACTACAATGTATCACAAGTCACGTAAATTTGGAAAAGAAATAGTCTACTACTTTTGATATGCAATATGTTAGAAATAACAGCTTCAAAAATAAAAGATTAATGATCAAGCTATGATAAATAATGTGATTATTTGGCAAATAGTGAAACAAATTAATGAATTGACGCGAATAATGAATTGATAAATAAAAAAGAATAAGCGAGACAACAAAGTTCGTATGAACAATGAAAATTAACATAATAAAAATGTTTATTTACATCGTGATCTTTTCCAACGTAACCTTCATGATCACGTACATTGAAGAGAGATTTGGCAATCTCCATTTTTAGAAATAAACAAATGATATATTACACTTTTATTGGACTTTAGTGTACTACATTGTTGATTGTCATCAACTTTCGTAAAAAATGCCAAATAAAGGAAAACTCAAGCAACGTATATCGACCGATGTTGCGACAATGATACGTGGGAAAATTGAAGACGACGACGTCGCATTGTTTTATTGGGGTTAGGTTAGTTCATTGAACCAACATATAGATATATAGATTTATACTCAAAATGGAGCTTTAAATTGTCATTTATAATTACAGTTAAATTTATAAAATTATTTTATTTTGTAAGTATGATTCGATGTTTTCGTTTTACAACGAAAAATTGGAAATACTATGGGAAAATATTTTGTCTGCAACGGCTAGGGATGAAATTTTATATAAATTAAAATATACTTTAACAATTGCAAATTAAGCAGTTAATGGTTAAAATATTTATAAGTGTGTATTATGGGTGAGTTATATCATAATAACAAAAATAGCTTTATAAGTGTCAAAGAAAATACATAGTTTAGACCGCACATAGTTTAAAACCACAAAATAAAGCTCCGTTTTCTTTAAATAATACTTTTTGAGTATCTGGAAGATAAACAATGCTGTTCAATTAACTGGAAAAAATAACGATTGGTTGAACGTCTTAATCAAACAAGTTCATATCACCATTCATGTCGTACTTAATACTATTTAAATAATTTATCATCGCAACGAAAGAAAAACATTTGGAGTTCAAAAGTCCGAACGACTTAAAACTATTACGACTTGACTATTTAAGAAAAGTCGCAGTCACCGATTCAGCACGTTCAGCAAACAAAATCTTCACAAACAAAAGGTCATAATCATAAATTCATCAAGGACTATCCCGGTAATGACGGTTATTGTGCACGTAGGTAGTGTAATAATCTCCTTGCTATTTCTATTCTTGCATTGAGCAGCTCTGCTGCGGTCATCTGCAACTATTTCTCAGCGGGAATTTTGTTTAAATCTAATGTAGTGATCTGACGCTGGGGGAAACACAAGATGTCGCTGTTCGCGGGTTGTGTCGTGTCCCCGGTATATAGCCATAATATACACGCACACAACCTACTATTCGATTTCGTTAGTCACACCGTTTAGTTTTCTCGCGTGTGCGTATGTGTTCGCCAGCAGCACCACAGCAGCGTCGTCACCGAGCTATCGAGGTGCGTTCTCCCACCCTTCACGAATTCGCGCTGGCTTGCGTTTTCTCAACGATTTTCTGCGTGGCGGCAAGCGAGCGAGCGAGAGCGCGCGCGCAAGGTGAAGCAGCCTCTTCTAATATTACGCCTTCGTTCGCTGCTCAACTCGCTTGTGCGAGTGAGCAAACGAATGGGCGAGCGAGCTAGCGCGAATGTGTGCTGGTTGCTGAAAGAGCGAGACAAAGAGGGGCTTGCGCTCTGGCGGCGTGGAGGAGCTGCGTCAGTGCTGCTCCGGCTGTGCGATTGATCGTGTGTGCGGTAGCCATACAACGCGAAGCATACGCGCCGAAGAGCGAGATTCTGGCCTGGTTGCTTGAATAAATACACACACATATAGCAGGCAGCAGTAGCAATGCAGTCGGTTGCTTGACGCGCCGCCACCGCCACCACACTACCGCGCTTCGTGTCCTTGCGCGTCGCTTGGGTGTGCCGCCACACTGCGGACAAAGCCAACCGAGCATTTTTCAAGGCATATTATCTGTCGCGTAGCGTAGCGTAGCCGCCGCCGTCACTCTCTCCTCGTATTCCGCCGGCCGGAATTGACGCTATACTCTCCTCGTCGCGTACTATTAACCTACGACGGAGAAGTCAAGCAAAGCAAGCTAGCGGGAGTCATAGCAGCGCGTTTTTGGAGTCTCACACTCTCTCTTTCTCTTTGTATGTGTATTCGTGTCTGTGTGCTGCGTGCTCGCGTGTGTTTGTGTCTCTCGCAGGTGCGCCGCCATTTGCGCGAGCGTCGGCAAACGACGTCGAGGCTTGCGCGTCATTATGCAACAGTCTTAGCGAAAATTGCGATACTACTGCACCAGGACAACGTCGTCTTCGCAGTTTTAGTCGTCCAACTTAACGCAATAGTGTGGAAGAGCCTCAAGAACCCCAGGG